CAAATTCTGATTTTAATCATCAATGTAATGTTATTTCTTCTGAAATCGATAGAAGAAAAGAGTTTAAACATGATCAAAATATTTATGTTAAAAATTTTCGAAAAATTTTTAGATATCAATTTTCTTCAAAAGAAAAAGAACAATTTTGGAAAGATTATTTTGAATCTTCTACAGAATTAAGTTTTTACGATTGGATCCAAATCAAAGTTTTTGGGAAACAATCAGAAAAATCTCAAGTTTTCACTACAAAAAATTCTTCAAAATCATGGAAAACTCCTGACGGAAATACTTTTCAATCAATTCATCCTCCTCTACAAGAAATTTCGTTTACCCATGGTAAAACTGAAATTCTTGCATCTCCCCTCAAACGTGTTCCAAATTCTAAAGAACGACTTGATGAATCTCAAGTTGTTGCTAAAGACATCAAAAATATTCAAGCTCAGAACAACTTTACAAATATTGTTCTTCAATCCGTTTGCTCTCAACTTAACCGTATTGAATCAAATTCTGAATCTGAAGCTTTTACTACTCCAAAAGATTCTTTTAAAGAATATCGAGATAGTAAAAGTAAGGATAAGAATATTTCAAAACCATCTTCATCTTCTCCGATTTTGAAAAATGATGATATTATTCCTACTTTTGAGAAATCTTCTCAATCTCTTTCAACAGAAAATGAAGTTCTTTCAGAACTTGTTAATCAATTAAAAAATTTTCATGTTTCAAAAAATATCAATACAATCGATTTTGATGAAATCGAAAAACAATTTGTTGATGAAAAATCAAACCATATCAACAAACTTAGAAATTCTGATTATCAAAATATTCCTAAATTTTATCCTCGTCCTTCATTTCCAGATCAACTTTTTGAAGAAAAGTTGCCTCCTCAAAGATCATATGATGGTTCTTCCGGTGTGAAATGGAACATTGATGGTCTTACTGAACACCAAATCATCGATCTTTTAGGACAAATGACTATTTGTTACAAAACCTTTTTGGCAAAAGGAGCTACAAGGCTTCAAGCCACTAATAATATTGTTCTTGGATTCACTGGACAGCTTGGTCAATGGTTGGAAAATTATCTCTCATCTACTTCAAAAAATATTATTTTTTCAGCTGTTAAACGTGATGAAAATAATAGTATTATTACAAATGAAAATGGAGAACCAATCAATGATAGTTACTCTGTTCTTGGATTAACTATAATCAAACACTTTATTGGAACTCCAGAAAATTATATACAATTTCAAAATGATATTCTTATGAATTTAAGATGTCCCAAACTTCAAGATTTTCGATGGTATTAAGATATGTTTATATCTCGTATCATGCAAAGATCTGACTGTCAACAATCTTTTTGGAAAGAAAAATTTATTTCAGGACTTCCAAAACTTTTTGCTGAAAAAGTGAAAAATTCAATTTTAGAGGAAAATGATGATCTTCAAACTCTTACTTATGGTGAAATTATTAATTTCATTAATAAGGAAGCTCTCAATTTATGTAATGATTTAAAACTCAAAGTTAAATTGAAAGCAGAAAAGTCTCAAACTCAAAATGAGTTAGGATCATTCTTTGAACAATATGGGTTTGAGAAAGTTCTACCTCCTTCTTCAAAATCAAGAAAAATCTTTCATAAGAAAAGATTCTCAAAAAGAAAATATTCTCCTGAAGAAAATTTCCATAAAAAGAAATTTTCAAAAGGAAAACAATTTTCTAAAAGAAAATTTACAAAAGATTTTCAAAAGAAAAATTCAAAAGTTACATGTTGGAAATGTAACAGAACTGGTCATTATTCTAATAGATGCCCTCTCAAAGAAAAAATCAGTACTTTTCAAGTTGATGGAGGTACTAAAACTCAGCTTCTTAATCTTATTCAATCTAGTTCTGACAATGAGTCTAACTCTGAATTAGAACAAGTTTTTCTCAATCAAGAAGTTTTTGATTATGAATCTACTCAAAATTCTGACTCTTGCACTTCTTCAAATGATAAAGAAATTTGTGGTTGTAAAACTATAAATGTCTTAACAGGAGAAGAAGAAATAATTCAAAATATCATTGATAGGATCGATAATCCAAAACTCAAAGATAAATTTTCATCTTTGCTTTCTTCCTCTACATCAAAAGAAAATTTTGATGATATCAATCTTACAAATATTCTTCGTCGTGCTCAAAAGGAATTTTCAAAAGGTTCTAAACCTTTAATTCCTGATCTTCAAGTTGAAGTTAAGGAAATGAAATCTCAAATTTCAAAACTTGCAAAACATGTTCAAGATATTCGTATGGAAGTTGTTCGCGAGCTCGTCATTTTTCAATTTTAAAAATTTTTTTTTTTGGATTTTTGGATTTTTTTTTTTGTAAATTCACACATTTTTTGATGAGCCCACGAGCTCATAAAAATGGAGCCCCTTGCTCAGTTCGGGCTCGTCAAATTAGTCCACGATTCGAGCTATCAAGCCGATGAGCCGCTCAGCCCATTTGACATCCCATGGCTAACTAACATGTGCACCCAACGTAGTCTATACAATTTGTACATTTCAGTTAACCAAGTCGACAACCTGTGTAGGCGGAGGTGGAGGTAGTGGGGACCCTCTATGAAAGCTGTTGTCGAAGATGCCGTGAAATGTTAAAATGATTTCTCATAGCTTCAACACGTAATACAATCCATTTAGGCCGCTCTTTCCCTCCCTTCTCTCCTTTTTGAAGCCTCCCATTTTGTTGACTTTCCCAATAACCTCACATTGCATTCTCATATGGGTACAGATCAAAGACAGGACACTTCTCATGCAAGCATAATGTAAAAGCTTAAACTTGATGTATTGCCAAGTTGTTAATTTAATCGAACATGTTTGAAATTAAACTAATGTATTGCCAAGATGTGCTATGCTCGTTCTTATTGTTGATATATATGTCGCGTCCCTTGATTAAATTGGAATACACTAATCTCCCATTTAACTTTGTCTGATTTAGATAAAAATCAAGTTTATAGTAAATTTTGATAATAATTTTTTAAATGTGTGATTGAAAAGTAGACATTTGAAAAGCAGTTGAGGTAATCATTATAAAATTAGAGAGTCAATACTATTTTAATTTTTTAAAATAGAGATTGAGTGGCATTTTTACTTTGAAAGATCATCTCCACTATACACTTTATTTTTCCTAATCATCATGGTGAATATCTTTAAATTTAAAGAATAATTTTTTATACCTTCTAACAAACTCATTTTATTATTTTTCCTAATTTTTCAATTAGTATATTTTTTAGATGTCAATATGTAGAATTTTCAATATAATATAAATAAATAAATTATTTGAACATTGAAAATTGCTGTATTATTAAATGCAATTATGATAAAATACAAATAGAAAGTGAGTTTGAATTTCTAAATGTAAAGAATCGAACCCACTCTTTATTTTAAACAGATAAAATAAAACTTATTTTAAAACCTAGTATCAAGGTTTTGCTATTTAGGCTTTGTTTGAACCTTAGTTTGGTGTGTGTGTGTGTGTGTGTGTGTGTGTGTGTATTTGAATAGTATTTTTTGGAGAATGTGTGGTAAAAAAAATAAGAAAAATCTTCAATATACGTGTAGATTTTTTTTTTCTTTTTGAGAATGTGATTGAAAATGAATTTTTGATCAAATGGGGACAAGGGCTTAAATTTAAAAAAATAAATAAATTAAAACATCTTACTTTTAATGAATCTCTCTTGGATGCTCTAATAGCATCTCCAATAGGATCTTTAAAAGTGAAATGTTTTCTATTTTAAAGTTTTAACCATTAAAAATATGATTCAAGATATTCCTTAAATTAATATTTTAAAATAGAAAGTGAATTTGACTCTTGATAATTAAATGCATTTAAAATATTTCAATTTTCAATACTTTGTATATTGACACAACTAAATATTACATAAAGAAAATGAGTAATATTATTTAGCATCGCCGGTAACAACACTAGTGGCATTAAGTGAATCATATAATTTCATCTTTAATTGCATCTCTCATATAATGCCACATAAACTGGTGTTAGATAATATTATTCAAAAAATATATATATAATTAAGGATTAAAAATAAAGAAGTTGTTGGAATATTTAAAAAATCTTACTCTCAAAATTACAAAATATGCTTTTTAGAAGAGGAAATGTTTTGAAAATGCTCTTATTTGCATTTTATAACATCTAAAAAGTGAAGAACCACATATGCAAATATTTTTTACATTTGTTATTTGCACTACTCTCAATTTATTTCACTCTAATTGTCAAGAATGTAATCTGATTCGTTAAATGTCCATTCAAATGTATTATTTTCTATTTCAAATTGTAAACTGTTAGAAATAAAAACACCTAATCATCATTAACACAAGTTTATGAAACTATAATTTAAATATTCATTCTTATATAGGTTGGTTACCCAATAATGATTTCTTTCTCATTCTTGCTACATGAATATCAAGGTTTACATAAAACTAAGCAAAATTCACGGGATATTTATCATTGGACAATTTAAAAAACAAACAACTTTTTCATCAAATCATCTATTGTCACATATAATTATGTCAAAATTTTTATCAAATTCTTCTGACAAAGTAGCTTTATCATTTCTCCCGTTCCTTTATTTCCTAGTCTACCTATCAACGAACTGAGAGTTTCCTTACCCTTACCAATGATGAGAAAGATATTACGAAGTCTGTAAGCGGATCTGATTGTTTCGAGGAGCTGTTAAGAAAATGGTTCATACGAGAGAGTATGAGTCAGTGTACAGTACTTGCCCTTCTAGTGCCAAAGAAGGATGGAAAGTGGCGTATGTGTGTTGACAGTCATGCCATCAACAAGATAATAGTGAAGTATAGGTTTTCCATTCCATGATTGGAGGATATGTTAGATATGCTAGGTGGTTCAAAGGTCTTCTCAAAAATAGATCTTCACATTGGTTACCACCAGATCCGTATTAAACCTAGGGATTAATGGAAGACTACCTTCAAGAGTAAGGATGGACTTTACGAATGGTTAGTGATGCCATTCAGACTTTTAAATGCTCCAAATACTTTCATGAGGATGATGAAACAGATTCTCTATCCTTTTTATCAGGTCTTTTGTTGTGGTGTACTTCGATGATATCCTTATTTACAACAAGTGTAAAGAGGATCACCTAGTTCACTTGAGGCAAGTCCCGGAGGTTCTAAAGGAAAATCAGTTGTACATCAATTTGAAGAAGTTCACATTCTATACATCTAAACTATTGTTTTTAGGCTTTGTGGTAGGTGAAGATGGTATGCATGTAAATGAAGAGAAGACAAAAGTAATTCGAGATTGGCCAACACCAAAGTCAGTTTCTGAAGTGAGGAGTTTTCATGGTTTGGCAACTTTCTACATACGATTCATCAGGCATTTTAGAACTATTGTGGCACCTCTCACAGAATGTTTGAAGAAAAGAAAGTTCAGTTGGGGAGAGGAACAAGATAAGAGCTTCGCCTTCATCAAAGAAAAGTTGTGCACAACTCCAGTATTAGCTTTGCCAAGCTTCGAGAAGATTTTTGAGGTGGAGTGTGATGCTAGTGGTATTGGTATTAGGGCTGTCCTTTCTCAAGAGAAAAGATCCATGGCTTTCTTTTTAGAAAAGTTAAGTGATGTCAGGCAGAAGTAAAGTACCTATAAGTAAGAATTCTATGAATTGTGAGGGTTTTGAAGCAATGGGAGCACTACCTGGTACAGAATGAGTTTGTGTTGTTCATTGATCACCAAGCTTTGAAATTCATTCATAGTAAAAAACACATTAGTAGGATACATGCTCGGTGGGTGACTTTTCTCCAAAAATTTCCTTTTGTGATTAAACATAAATCTGGAAGTACAAACAGAGTTGCAAATGCATTGAGTTGGAGAGCTTCCTTATTAATCACATTATCATAGGAAATTGTTGGATTCGAGTGTTTGAAATAATTGTATGCATATGATCTTGACTTTAAAGAGACTTGGAGCAAGTGCGTGAATCAGGAATCATTGGTGGACTTTTATATTAGCGATGGATATTTGTTCAAAGGCAACTAGCTTTGTATGCTTGTTTAATCTCTACGTGACAAATTGATTCGAGATCTGTATGGTGGAGGTCTAAGTGGACACTTGGGGCGTGACAAGATAATAGTCAGTTTGGAGGCTCGATATTATTGGCCACAGTTGAAGCAGAATGTTGGAATTATAGTAAAAAATTGTTATACTTGCCAGGTGTCAAAGGGTCAAGTGCAGAACACTGGGTTGTACATGCCACTTTCTGTCCCTCAGGGCATATGGCGAGATCTGACTACGGATTTTGTTTTGGGATTACCTCGTACTCAACGAAGCATAGATTCTGTTTTTGTGGTGGTTGACAGATTCTCCAAAATTGTGCACTTCATTGCTTTTTGGAAGACTTCAGATGCATCACATATTGCCAAACTATTTTTCAAGGAGACTGTTAGATTGCATGAAGTTCTCAAGTCTATCACATCAGACCGGGATACAAAATTTTTGGGGCACTTTTGGATTACTTTGTGGAAGTTTTTTGGAACCAAATTGAATTGAAGAAGCACTGTTGAGTCTCCAAACTAATGGACAGAAAGCAGTTACTAACCATACCCTTGGAAATATGGTTTGAAGTGTTTGTGGAGATAAGCCTAAATAGTAAGACTTTGCACTACCTCAAGTGGAGTTTGCGTACAACAGCGCAGTTCATGATGCTACAAGCAGGTTTCCATTTGCTGTATACAGAGGTGCCTTACCGTGTGGTGGATTTGGTGAAATTGTCTAAAGGCAATAATAAAAGTGTTGCTGCTGAACATCTGGCCGAGGAAGTATCAGCAGTTCGTGATGAGGTAAAATAGAAATTAGAGAAAACTAATGCAAAGTATAAGGCAGCAGTAGATTCACATTGACGAGATAAACAATTTCAAGAAGGGGACTCGATAATGGTGTTTTTGCGAAACAAGAGATTTCCTGTTGGTACTTACAATAAACTGAAACCAAGAAAGTATGGGCCTTTCAAAGTGCTTAAATGGATTAACAACAATGCTTACATTATTGATTTTCCAGCTTCTATGGGTATTTCTCGTACGTTTAATGTGGCAGATTTGTATGAGTTTCATAAAGATGATAAGCCTTTGTATCCAGTTCTTCGGAGATGGAAGGGACAAATGTAGGACAGAATGGGTATATTGAAAAAAGAATACTAGTAGAAGTAAAACATCATCTTAATTTTGGATTGGTCCTATAAGACTATTTTGGAATGAGAACGACGAGGGGAACAATACACACTGCTACATTATGATGTAACACGAATTTCGACCATTCGAGTTTGTTTAAGCCTAGAAAATTGATTTTAAAGTTTTGGCGTTATTTTTGTCAATTCGTTTATTTTGGGTTTTTTGCTATTCTAGTTTGTTTAAACTTTGTTTTCAATACTCCTAGTTGTTTAAAACAACGTTTCCATGTAAATCTTTATGAATAAGGGTTTAGTTCTTTATTATTATTATTATTATTATTATTCATTAATAAAATTCGTGAAGTTCATTTGTTAAGTTTTTGGTGGATTCCAAATTTTGTGATCTCAAGATTTTTGCTTGAATTTCTTTCTTTCGCTGCTTCAATAATTTTCTTTTCTTCACCGTAAATGAATTTATACTCTATTTAAACATGATTTATTGATGAATTTTTTCAGTTTATTTGTCAAGTTTGAAAATTAAGTGTCTGACTTTTTGTTAATTTGAACAAATTTAGTATGGATTTAAAACAATCATAAGCGTGCAAGCCTATTATCTTCAATTTATTATGAACTTAATATGATTATTTTCAACTTATTATTTAGTATGCTTTGTATCAATTTATTATGAATTTGCGTGTATTTAAGAACTATTCTTTATAGTTTTTAAGTGAGAATAGATTTATATATAATTTTTTTCACGTTTATCAGACTGCATGAAAGATAATGACTTTTAATGATTAAACGAGTTCATGAATTTATGTGATCTACTCATCATTTATTAAAACATAGCCTTACATTTTCATATGCAAAATTGTTGTCAATTTTAGTTTCGCAAGTGTACCGTAACAAGTGATAGTGGACCTAAGAGTCCAGATTATTGATCCCACAAGGACTATTTTCTAGCACTTAATTCAATTTTTCTTTAACTACTATTTGATGAAAATAAATTAAAAGTTATAGTGATTCGAGTTTAAATCTTAATTCTAGACAATAAATAAATGCTCACACAATTGTTTGTAAGATCAAACAATTAGAGGACATTAGGGCAGAATAACTTCGCCTATTGATTACCTTTATATCTCAAATTAAGACTCAATTCTAATGTAGTGTTCGGTCGAATTCACCTATTGTATTTAATTTACCCCTCTTGAGTTCTCATTGAACTTATTCAACTAATTAAATTTCATATCTCTATGTAAATTCAACTTAGTTAAAGTTCTTTGTTCTAGAAATTCAATTATGACCGCAATAACTAGTGTAGGCATTTCTACTCATTATACCAATATACTGGATTTTTCTATATGGTCTAAATCCTAAACTCATATCTCTATTCGTAAAGGATCACTACACCAAAAATTGCTATTTGCAACGGTCGAAAAACGTTGCCATTGACCTTTTGCAGCATTCAGGCGTATGGTGCAGGCTTTGGTGTTGTCATAGAGCGGAAGGTTTTTGCAATGTGCATTGCGCGTTGTCTTAGGTTTTTTGTAACGTGCATTGCACGTTGTCTTAGGTTTTTTGTAACGTGTGTTGTGCATTGCCTTAAGGTTTTTCGCAACATGCATTGTATGTTGCTTTAAGGTTTTTCGCAACGTGCTTTGCGCGTTGCCCTAATGTTTTTCGCAACGTGCATCACGCGTTGCCTTAAGGTTTTTCGTAACGTGCTTTGTGCATTGCCTTAAGGTTTTTCGCAACATTCGCCGCACATTGTCATTTCTTTAATTCTTTTTTTTCCCCTTTTTTGCGCATGTTTAGACTTCCCTAATAGTAGTGATACCAATTGATACAACCCATCCCGAATCACCCTAAAAGACCCGACACGTGTCGTGCGCCAATGGTAGATACCAACTAAATGTCGTACCCACCATCAAGACAACCCTAACTTACTTTACTGTGACATATTTTTATAAAAATTTTGACAGAGTTTCCTCTGAAATGTGTACTAAACCAACCTGAAAATCAACAAAAATCTCATAAAAACATTTAAACCAAAAATCTCAAAAACCACCAATACCACCAATATTTTATCCATACACAATAAACATAAAACATGTACAATTACTTCTTCAAAACATAATAAAGACTCCAATACAGAAAAAAGGGCCCAAAAACCAACAAAAACAAATATGTCAAGAATATACACAATGAGTCAACTACAGGAATTACAATATTCCAGCAAAAGCATTGTCCATAAGGCATCCCGAAGTAAGCTGCTTACATAAATAAAGTCCAAGAAGGCACATGCATAAGAGAACTCAACTTCAAATTCTTCTCTTAGCTCCATATAACTGCAATAAGGAAAGAATATAGATTAGGTACATTAATTAATAAAATGCTAGGAAACTCACACAACATTAACGTGTCAATCATGTTCAGAATAAGCTTATCACACAACATTAAAAGTCTTTGCTTAGTTGAATAAGCAAAAATTCGAGAAATACCTTGGTCAAATGAGTCTAACACTACTCTTTGGCCAAGCAACAGTACTTCCCATGGCTTCACTAAGAACTCGAAATTCATCAGTAGGTCTATATAAGGTCAAATGACCCATATACACTTCCTCAACCCAAAACTTCCAACAATCTCGTCCAAGTGGCATGTGGTGTACCTTTGCGTTTGGGTCGGTTGATGCAATCTTCCCTTCTACTACGATTTCTTCCTCATCATATTGGTACTAATGCAATAATTGACAACTTGAATTTTTCAAATGTGTAGTCCCTCCCTGGATACCACTTCCTTGTTGGGACTACAAATTCACAATAAAATGACAATATTCTTTTTAAAATTAGTATGCCATATAGTCTGAATTTATATTGAACAAACAATAAATAATATAAGATACATAACCTGAGGAGTAAAAGCAAGTAAACTCATGTCATCTACATTCTTATTTGGACTCTGTAAAATAATAAAAAAATTAAAAAGTTATTATACGTAGTTATGTAAAGCTATGTTATCATTTTATATAAAATGATAAAATACATAACTTGAGATAACTTGAGGAGTGCTTCAACTTTTTCTTCTAGTGCTCGAACCCTTTCTGATTGCATTTGTAGTTGGCTTTCAAGTTCTTTCACTCGAGAATTACTTTGAATTTGTCCATCGACCTTTGATAGTGTAACTCCAAATCCAAGTCCCCTTACTCTTCCACGACGTTCAGGACCTAGAACTCGAGGAACAACATCATCTCGAATTGAATCTTCGGCTTGTGTATCGGAAATAGATTGAGCACAATCTTCTATCTTTTTCTGCACTTATGCAACTTAATTTTTGTATTAGCAAGTGATACACATAATAAGTTTAATTATTATTGACAGAATCCAGATATAACACACATACCAGAGTGTTGGCAATAGCTTCATTTATAGGTTTTCCACCCCTTCTCAGATGTCCATGAGTCTAGACTTTAGTTCTCGACCCTTTCATATCTGGAAACCTTTTTTTCTGCAATACAAATCAAGTAATTAGATACACTAGTATTGGACATATCCAAAAAAGCTTGATATAAACTATAATGAATGAAGATAAATAAGAAAATCGTTACTAACACGTCCAAGTAAAGATAGTTTGAATGTGTACCAAATCGTGAGCCATACGTTGATAACCCTTTCGACCCATTGTGTGTAGAAGCCTCTGATTAGTTCTCATTTTACTAAACTTGGCACTTTTTTCCTATTAAGAGAACATAAAAATTGAACAACAACAGTCAACTAAATTTTAAACTCAAGGGCATCAAAAAACAACTTACTTGAAAGTCAGTAGAAAGAGTATCTTTTACAAAATTCTTCCATGCTTCTTCGGAGTTTACATTCTTCGATCTAAGAAGGGAAATAGTGCATGTTCTATTCACAGATGATGCTGCTTGAATTCTGATTTCTTTTCTCAATCTTGATTTGTATGTCCTCCAGTACTTTCCCATTTGCTGAAATGTCATTTTTTGATGGAAATCACTCACATTGAACCTTTGCTGTATTTTTGTGCACAGATATAAGAAATGATGTTAGGAAGGAATTAGATATAATAAATAGTAAAAGAAATTAAAGTTATTGTATTTATCAACATACCTGTATGAAAGTCCAAAGTTCCTTTTTTTTTGTGTCACCTATCGACTGCCAATCCTTAATTACAATAGGCACATACTCTTGTACAATGGCTCCAACCATGCTAGCAAATTTATCAGAGTTAGTGCCAACTACTTGCCCAAATTCATTAAATTCAAGCTCCATCTTATGATTCCTATTTTCAGGAACTGCTTTCACTTGGGTTGGACCTCTTTTCTTTTTTGGAGCATCTACATTTGTCGACGACATATTTTGTTCATTAGTAATTGGAGTTGATACAGTATTTTCCGGTTCACTTGAAAGTCTTAGTCTTTTATTGGTCTCTCGAATTGCAACAGCAATTGCAACTTTTCGACGTTTTGAACTCTTCGAAGCTTGCTTCATTGACTTAAAGAATGAAACATAAAAATATGACATGGCTATAATTATTCCCTTGTTGACAAATATCTTAAGAATTATTAAAAAACACACTAACCAGAGCTGCATCCATCATATAACATATATTACTGTCAATTGGTTCGACACAAATGACTTCAAGAATACAAAAATCTACAAACAAAAAGAGAAAGGTTTACCAAAAGCAATTGATCTACAAATATCAATTTAAAACATGTGTCATTTATAAGGACTTTTACCAAACTACTTAATAAGTATCACATAATATGCTTTCGATATCTATTCTTGTATAATTTTCATCCTCATCGTGATTGTCTTCAAGTTGCGTTACATCTAATGAAATATTTGCCCCGTGAGAAGTATTTTCTTCCATATGTAACGTGTGAAAGTCTCTTGGTGATGCTTGCAAAGCAACATACCAATTAGATGTTTCATTCTCCCTGGAATAAACCACTTGTTTCGCCTGCGATGCTAAAATGAAAGGACCATTTTCAAATTGTCTGTATCCCTCATTAAGATTAACCAAAGTGAATCCATCTCCATTTTTTATTCGATTCACGATATTTGCCCAATCACATTTGAATATTGGAATATGAAATGCATTATAATCAAGCACTATAACATCCGCAAAACTCCATAATAAAGAACCTTCCCAACGATATGTGCATTATCTTTTGCACAAGATCTACAAATGGTGGTTTCTTAAGCTAAAATGCTGCTATTTTGTCGAGACTTTTCTGCATCTTTAGCGTGAAATCGAAGACCATTTATCACAAAACAAGGATATGACATGAAGTGACATCTAGGACCACGTGCAAGACACTTTAAAGTATTTGAAACAATGTCCAGCAACAGTTGGCCTTTGATCTGTTTTTATTTTAAACATGTCAGGTATAAAAGAATAAACAACATAATTAAACACTATAAATTTCTTATATGTATGTCAACCTTATCATCCAGCCAAGCAGCAAAAGAGCCAATGTGTTTCTTATGCAATAAATTCTCATTTCTTTCAAGTCGTTTGTCAAAACTCTTAAGTTCGTCCATATGCATCCTAAGTGGAAAACAAGATATAAAAAAAATTAATTTAGTCAAAGAACTTAAAATCTAATAACGTAGTTATTTCACAAACATACTGTATGTAGGGTGCCACTTCTATACTATTTAGCAACACGTGGTGATGGAGAACTTTCAACATCTCATCTGGTAGTACAATTGGCTTTCCTTTAGAAATTGTGCGCCCTACAACTAAGAAGTTACTCTAGAATTCTTCATTGCGTGCAGGCTTAGAGCATATTTCAGATGCTTGTTTTATGTACTTGCTACAAAACATTGCATTTTCTTCAACAATGTATTGTTCAGCAATACACCCTTCAGGTTGTGCACGATTCATAACATACCCTTTCAACACTTTCATATACCTACACATTTACCAAAAATCTCATAAAATGTAAAGCCAAATTGATAATAAATTTCACTTTTGGAAATAACTTAAAGGAACATTACCTCTCAAATGGGTACATCCAACGATATTGGACTGGTCCACATAGATGAACTTCTTTTCCTATATGGATTGTTAAATGAACCATAATATCAAAAAAGGAAGGTGGCAAATACCTTTCCAACATGCATAAAGTTTCAAAGTCGTCCTCTTCTAAACTTTCAACATTATTCCTATCCACAACTCCTTGACACATTTCATTGAAAAATGAACACAATTTAAAAATGGAGTTCCTTAGACTTTTAGGTAGAAGTCCTCTCAATGCAATTGGTAGTAATTGTTGCTATAAAATGTGACAATCATGAGACTTGAGTCCAACTATCTTACATTCTTCCACTGAAATGCAATTTCCAATATTAGAACCATAACCATCAGGCAATCTCATGTTAGCGAGCCTTTTGCGAAACATTTGTTTTTCTGCTTTTGATAAAGTGTGAGGGGCAGCAGACAAGTAGAATTTATTTCCTCTTCTCTTAGGATGTAAATCATGCCTAATGTTCATAGTTTCCAAGTCCTTACGAGAGTTAATGCCATCTTTAGATTTTCCTTTCACATCCAAAAGTGTACTAATGATGCTCTCGCAAATGTTCTTTTCCACATGCATCACATCCAAATTATGACGTACAAGTAAAGTTTGCACATTAAACATTAATCGTGTCACAATATACTACATGCCATTAGGAGTATTAAATATAGTAGAAAGAAATATACTAAAGTTACCTTCCAATATGGTAGCATAAAAAATATTGACTTTTTCTTCCAAGTTACAGTTGATTGAGTTGTATTCTTCTTCCTCTTTCGCTTACCACTTTTTCCCCAATCATATGCAATTTTATCAACTTCATTTAAATTTTGTTCACCATTCTTTATCTTCGGCCTAATGTCATTTTCAATGCGTCCATTAAACCAACTCTTTTTCACGCGAAATGGATGACTCAAGTCGAGAAATCTTCTATGTCCCATGTATGCAAACTTCCTACCATGTGACAGCCATATGGAACATGTATCTTCATGACAAATAGGGCATGCAATTTTTCCCTTAACGGGCCATCCAGATACATTTCCATATGCAGAAAAGTCATGTATTGTCCACATCAAAATAGCTTTTAAGTTGAATGTAGATTTTGTAACTGCATCATACATCTCAACCCCATCACTCCATAACAATATTAAATCATCTACAAGTGGTGCCAAATAAACATCTATGTCATTACCTGGCTACTTTGGTTCCAGGATCAATAAACTCAACATTAAACTTTCCTTCGACATGCATAATGAGGGAGGCAAATTATATATAGTTAAAATTACTGGCTAACAAATATATTTAGAGTTAAGATCTTTGAAAGGATTAAATCCATCAGTTGCAAGACCTAATCTAATATTTTGAGAATCTGATGCAAAATGTGGCCATCTTCTATTTATCATTTCCCAACTTAATGAGTTAACTGGATGCTTAATTTTACCATCTGAACTTTTATTATTTTTGTGCCATCTAAGTTGTGTCGCCATCTCATATATTCCAAACATCCTCTTAAGTCTTGGTATTGTAGGAAAATAATGCAAGACTTTTGCTGGAATTTTTTTTGAATCTTCTTAGTCCGTTGATTAACTTTCCATCTTGAACAACCACATTTTGGACATAATTCAGCATGTTCAAGCTCTTTTCTATATAGACAACAATCATTCACACAAGCATGTATCTTCTCATAGCTAAGGTCAAATGTATTGACAAGTTTTTTCATCTCATAAAATGAGTTAGGTAGTGTACTATTCTCTGGCAGTATGTCCCGAACAAGATTTATAAGTTCATCGAAACCACTATCCGATAAATCGTGTGTAACTTTATGTTTAAGCATAGCAATCGAAGCAGACATCTTTGTAAATGTTGGACAACCAGGATATAAAGGTGTTTCGGCATCGTCAACCAAACTTTGAATAACTCCATCCCTTCCATCGAGAGGGTTTTCAAGATCTACATTATGTTGTACATAGAAGTCCCTAAACATCCTACGTGACTCAAGTATATCCGCATTGACTGAATTTAATTTACATTGTCGTTCTCCATGAAATACCCAAACAGTGTACGTAGGATCCATTCCCTTAATAACTAAATGTTCATACACTGTTTCGTAATGATGATGCTTTAGATTCCTACATTTAACACAAGGGCATCCTATCATTTTTGAACATAGATTTTCACGAGCTAGTTCAACAAAATTCTGTGCTCCATCTCTATATTATTCTGAAAACCTATAAGTAAAATGTTATGATCATTTACACTATAAATTGTTTAAATTTTGTAAGTAGATTCACGAAATCGTATTTCAGGCCATAACCTTGATACTTGCAGCCATGCTTTGTCCATTATTATTCTGTCAAACACTGAATAACACAAATACAAATTCAAAGCAAAAAAATAAGAATTTATTGAATAATGAAAATGAAACTATTTATAAACTTTTATTTTTCTTGAAACTTCATGAATGCTCACATAGTAACAGATTTTGGTAACATATTTATATATTTAACGATGTAGCGTATGTATCGAGACAATGAGAGGTTTACGTACCTCTATTGTAGATGGAATCGAATTAATAATCAACATTTGACTATGTATTTAATTCTTCTGCAAAATATTACTCCTCCTTCCCATAGACAAATTACGAACTCTAATGATCCAGACTTTATGGCGAAACCTAGGGCTTGACATGATTCATTTCGGTTCAGTTCAATTCGATTCTAAAGAAAACTAAACCAATCGAAGCAAAATTTTTGTGTATCCAGTAAGTAGAATCGTTAGGTCCATATTTAATTACTGGTTTGTTCCCTTTTTCTCGATTAGGTTCCATTCGATTTCATACCATAATTAAATTTTCTAATATTTAAAATAACACTACATTAATCCAATTAATGACATGTTCAATCTCAACTCTTGTAAAATAACGTAGTTCGACCGAATGAATTAGAAAAACTTAGGTCACTTAATAATGATTATTTAAAATTTGAACTATGAAGTTGGGTTTAGGATGAAAATAGGAAAATGATGTTTTGGGCTTAATTAATTAGTTGGCAAATGAAATAGGAAAATGATACCTTTAATATAAAAAAAGTATCATTTTTGGCTTATTTAATTTTTAAAAATTTATAAATTAAAGAGATTCGGTTCTTGTTCAATTTTTCGATTTTTTGTCTAAAATCTAGAACATAACCAAATTCGTAGGTTCTTGATTCTGATACCCATTTTAGGAGTGCTGATAAAATGAAACCAGAGAGTCTAAATATCTAAACAAAATATTTGGCAAATTAGGAAGTTACAAGAAGTTTCCTTGGCCCTCAGTTGATTCTTTACAATTTGGAAGTGTCATAGAAAAGCTATACAACAGTATCAAAGAGTATAAATGCATAAAAATCATAGAGAATCGAGAGGAAGAAAACCAACATTGACAAACTGTATTCTCCTATTTTAGATGAAGAGAAGGTAAACAGGCTACCAAAATTTTGTTTGCTAAATGAAGATTGCTAGGAGTAGTATAGGAGAAAACCTCACCTCCATAGGTATACCTAGTCAATAGTTCTGTCTCAGCAGCTCTCTGCATCATAAGACAAAGTAAAAACACTTTTGACTTCTTTCTTTGCCATGGGTTATGAAATATTAATGCTCTTTTTAACAGTCACTTAAAACTAAAAATAATTCATCCTTATTAAATGGCAAAATAATATCAATATTACCTTTCCTTCATAATATCCTTGTAGCAAATAATTTACCACACTGTAGTCACCAGCAGAGATGTGCACAAATCTCTTCACTCCTGTAGGTAAAAGAAAAGGATAGTAAAAAATATGAAATGGCAAAGAGAAAAAAGAAATGCAGAAAGTACAAATCATTATCAACTTCAGCTTCATGAGAGAAGTTACACCCATCAAAATTAGGAAGTCAAAATACATTAAAATTCATACATATTCTCTAGACAAGCAATGCAGCTTAAAATAGTTCCACTTATAAATGACTTGAAGATGAAGTTTCACAAAATTAAGAAGGAAAACAACCAAAAAAACACCTAGCAGGTACCAACAATAAAACCACCCATTTTCCACCCACTTCCTATATATATATATATTTTGTTTTTTTTTGGGGACTGGTTCATACTGTCTATGTAAACAACAATAGGATTAATTAAAGTAATCTGCAATGTTTACGTAGAAAGAAAAACTTGGGCTTCCAGCATGTTTGCACTTATGGTGATTACAATTTGCATGAAATCATATAGCCCATAATTTTACCTTCATTTAACATTTTACTATTTCAGGGAGCAACAAGCTAGAGAAAAAACATGCATAGAAGACCAGAGTTAAAAAGCCATGGTGCAAGTTATTTACATGTTGCTATAGATACTACTGAATTTCCATGAGAGAAATATCTAATACAAGTTGTTGAGGTCAGATACAATTTTGAATTAGAAATTAAAAAGAAATCATCCTAGGAAATCTTCATGTGAATCCTAATATCCAACTTGCCCTTCAGAAGTTCATTAACTATTATCAAAATCAAGACAAGGATAAGTTATCAGTCAATATACAGGGAAAAAAGAATTAATCAATACCAGTACCTTCTTCAGAAGCAGCTCTAATAGCATTGATATTTAATGAATAGTACGAGAAAACATATAAAGAAACAATTTATGCTACAAAAATTATAAGTAAACTTAATTAAACTATATTGCCTAAGCATATAGTGATCATAAAGCTTAGACGTCCAATTAAAGAAAACTTAGACATCCAACCATCTTGGACATCAAAGGGCTTACAACGCCTTAAAATAGAAAAAAGGAAATCTAGCAAAATTCGAAAAAAAGATATTTTTCCAAAAATAGAAAAATATGAGATAACAACTAAGATGGAAAATCCTTATCTTCAGAATCATTTTCCAACAAATGGAATACAAATCTGAATTTTATGGAAAGAGATATTGCAAAAACAAAAATTACCATAAATAGCAAAAAGGCCTAAACGAGGGCCTAAACAATGGATTTTGCCCAAAATTGGCATTGCATCAGGGCCAAAGGCCCTGTGTTTTATTCATTGGCTCGATTCCAATCAAATTAGACTAGTAATTCACCAAAAACGAACAAACTCAAAGTTATCATGAAATCCAAAACCATTATTTTGCCTTGCAATTTATAAGGACTTCATTACTTCTTCAATTAAGTGGACATTTTTTACACTACTAAATATACAAATGAGGCAACATATAGAAAATATTTTTGAACATATAATATGAACACAGACTGCATATCATATGAACTGGAAAACAAATAAATCCCCGTACTAGCAAACATCGAGTGCCACCATCAGCCAGTTCAATTACACCACAAGTCCAGTTCAATTTCCTAATTTTATTATCTGTAAGGGCACTATTGATGATTTCATTACAGTTCAATTACACCACAGCACTTACTGATTGCTATCTCATTGTAGTCAAGCCATATTCTAGCAAACTAAATCAACAGAGAACATGATAGATACACAGAATTTATACGACAAAATGATAGATTAAGAAATATTTCTCTACGTGAGAGTACCTGAGATCCAAAGAAGAGGCAGAGTGGATTGAGGAGAAGATTTCAGAAAAATCGATAATCTGTAAAAATCATCAGAAATGCGGCCTCTTCGAAATGCATAAGTAATTAACTATAACAAAAAAGTTAAACGATCAAAATTGAAAAAATAAAAGGAAATAAATTTATTTCAGTTTTAATTAAGTTTTGTGAAGCTCAAATTGAGGAAAAATGTAGAGTTTGGGACTCACGAGAAAACAGTGTGCGTGTGTTCCAATGGGTAGATTTCTAATTGAAGTAAAGGAATACTTACGCGAGCTGGGCTGCTTTGCACTACGGCTGAGGTTGCTACTTCGACTGTGGGTAGAAGAACCAGAGAGCTGGATGAGGGAAGACCTTTACGTGCCTAACCGAACTTCAATTTGAAAATCGATTGATGGCACCTTGGATGGGAAGATGAGACTGCAAAATTTCGAGGGAAGCTACGGCAGTTCGAAGGGAAGCTAGGGCATTTCACGGGATTTCTCAGAATGGGTGGAGAAGGGGCTTTCCCGGGTTGTAATGGTTATTGGGTTTTTCTTCTGGGTTGGGCTGGGCGGGCGGGTAAGAGGAAAAAAAAGGTAAAAAATGTTTAACGGCAACGTGCAATGTACGCTGCTAAAAGTTAATTGCAACGTTCAAGAGTGCGTTGCTAAAAAATATAATGGCAACGTGCATTATCTGTTGCTAAAACTAATAATGGCAATGCGCGATGCAAGTTGCTAAAAATCTAAGCACAACGCGCAATGTACGTTGCCAAAAGTCAATGGCAACGTTCAAACGTGTGTTGCTAAAACAACAAAACGGCAACACGCATTGTCTGTTGCTAAAATCGAATAATGGCAATGCGCAGTGCACATTGCAAAAACTCTAAATGCAACGCGCTTTGCACGTTGCAAAAAGAAATTAAATGACAATGGATTTTGCACGTTGCAAAAAGTTGTATTAGCAACATCCCTTAACAAAACGTTGTGAAATCTCCATTTAGTCATCCAATAGCAACATACACTTACTGAACGTTGCGATAGATCCCTTTTAGCAACATGCAATTGGTGAATGTTGCCTTTTGCATGTTGCAAAAGGCCTCTTTTCTTGTAGTGGATTCACAAAATTCATCAAATTATTGATCAGATAATCTAATGCAATCAATACATAACAAAAATCAACACATGGAAAAATGAAAAACTAAGAATTTGAATAAGAAAATATAAAGGATCTCAACTGGTTACATTATTCAGTATAACAATGGATTTAGCTACGCATAATGAAAGAAAAGAAACAACAAATTATCTTTGAGTACATCACCGAATTTAGAATTAAATATGTAGAGGAAAAAATAGATCTTGCATTAAGAATTCATTTTTTTTTCAATTGATGCTTCACACGATAAATTTGTTGTTGTTTTCTCACTTTGAATCTCTCCTCTCCTTGCCAGAGATGTGTTTTTCGCCTCCTAATGTGTGGAACCCATTAAAGTGTGAGAATTTTCGTATTTATAGATC